TACCCCTCCGCCCCTACCCCGGGTCCTTGGCCGATGGAATGCCTGAAAACCTGGCAGGCAGATGTCCACCAGTGGTACTCCACCCTCTGCGCCCAACCAGGTCTCAGTAATACCTGCCAGGTCCGCGCCCCCCTCTAAAATAAGATCTTGTATGAGGGGGGCCTTATTTACTACGGACCTGGCATTACATAACATCAGCCGATGGTCCCGGGCCGGGGGGTCTGCGTCCCCTGGGAACCGAGTGGGAGCCTTGTTGTTTCTATTGAAAAGACAGTATTCCAAACTGCTAAGTCAAAAAGTCAACCATAATTAATTCTCATGCCTTTAATCATCATGGCTCTATCTTACCGAAAATTATAAACCAGCAGCTATTTTTGCAGAGGCTCTGAAGTTTGGGCAAGGTGTGTTTGGCCTTCCCTCTATTTAAGCAAAATGGTTACACATGAGAAGCCAACTTCTAACTGAATAGAACAGGTAGGTCATTATTGTAGATTATAATCCAGCCAATAATCAGAAAACAAATCACACTGAAATATAGAAAGGCCTAGTAAATCAGGGGTCCCCAACCCCTGGTCTGTGGACTGGCACTGGGCTGTGGCATGCCAGAAACCGATCCGCACAAACAAGCAAAGCCCCACTTGCAGGATGCAGGCAGTACATGACACCATGCCCTCTCCGGCCCGCAGAAAAATCTTTCTCCACAGAACCGGTCCCTGGTGCTCAAAAGGCTGGAGACCTCTGTAGTAAATTTTATAACAAAATGGGTGAGCCAAAACAGTGGGGCAGTTATATGTTGGAGTAGGGCTGAGGAAACCAAATCTGCCCTCAGCCATGGAAACTCACTGGGTGACTTTGTGCTAGTCATTCTCTCAGTCCAATTTATCTTGCAGGGTTGTTGCAGGGAAAAATTGGAGAAGGGAATGCTATATATATACTGCTTTAAGATGAAAGGTGGGATATAAATCTAATAAATCAATGCAAGTCAATAAAACAGTTGCAGATGATGACCACCCTCAGTGTACAATATGAGGAAGGGAGGAATTCCACAAGTAGGATTAGAAAATTGATTAGAAGACCCCATGACCTCAATTTCAGATGGCAACATAATTATTTACAAAACAATAGGCACAACATGCATTTATCCTCAGAAGAAATCACAGAACAGTACTTATACATATACAATACTTATACATATCCATGGAATAAATGGTAACATTGTTTTAATAACTGCAGGTTCTAAGTGAGCCATACCTCATCAAGTTTTGGAAACAGAACTAGCAATGTCTGCCATAGTCGATTTTCAATTCTATGTTGTAAGGAGTTCACATAATAGCGGACTTTTGATTTGGACATTAATTCACCCTGCAGAGAATATAAATATGAATACTTCTAATTTCAGTCGAACAACAAATGCTATAAAACATCTCACGTACCCTTGTATAAAAAGAATTGACTGAAGTAGTTAATAACAAACATTCAATCGTCCTTTGTTTTATAATGTTATTAAAACAGCATGCAAACTATATAAAACGTGCTATGGAATGTAATGGGAGGTGACTTCTTTTTCTGAGGCTTTGCTTTACCAAATGTTATTTGGGATAAAAAAAAACCATATCATATAAACCACTAGACAGGAATTACCATGCAATAACCCACAAACTGACTGGTTCTGTGTGTGCTTGCACGCATGTGAGTTCGCGCACGCAAACTCAGAGCTGCCCCAGTGTTGTTCTTTCCATCTTCATAAGAGCCAACAAGGAATGAGATCAACAAGTGGGAATCAAAGGAAAAGATTCCCATTGTGACCAATAGCAGGCTTTTAGACACAGCAAATGATCCACTAACCTGCTTCCTATCTTCACCTATTTTCTTGGCAAAACTAAACATAATTTACTTCTTTAGCTACATTAAAAAGGCGGGATAGCAGTTCTCTAGATCAGTGATTCCCAACACAGGCAACTTGTTGTATGGACTTCAATGTCATCCGACCTGAGGACTTAACATCCAGCACTATATTGTCAATCATTTTATATTTTCTAGCCATATAGTTTTCTTGGTAAAAAAACGGGATGGTTTACTATTGCCTTCTCCCATCCAATATGAAGTGATCATCATAAACTTTGCTAATGTGATCATCTGCCTCTGGCATCTTCCTATATCACTGCTGCTCAGTAAAGGTACCTGCTTGCTCTATCTAGGTGACTGGGATGACCTTCATGCATTGAGTGATCTTGCTGGTAATCTTACTCATCCTTGCTCATCCCTCCCAGAAACACTAAGATGAGGCAATCCAGCAGGACACTGAGAATCTTCTCTAAATACCATAAAACCAAAGGCTACAAAGAGGAATAACTGGCCTACTATGAAACAAAGGCAGCCTGAGGCTGGCAAGTTGGAATCAAAGGTCCCGTGAGAGGGCATGACGATGAGCATCGGGTGGCTAAGAAAGCAGTGGGAGAACACAGAAGACTGGGACTGAATTTCTTCTCCTGCTAAGAATCACAGGGAGACTTTCTAGTACTGGTTTCCATAGCCATCTTTCTTGATAGACCCTCTCCTAGTAGTATTTGAGAAGCAATTCCCCCACCAAGCAGCCTTTCCTTATTGTCTCTCTGCCAAACCAAGATGCTACCCATCTTACAGAGGTTTTGCCTTCTCCCAATTCTGCAGTCATGCAGAGCCAAATTCTTCTTTCTGAAGAGAAGGAACTTCTAAAATGGCTGGGAATCAATGAAAGATCACCCAAAGGCGAGATGTGCCCCCCAGTCCACCTAAAGCCCACTCTTCACCCCTATTTTAAGAAGCAGAAGGAAAGGTGATGCTTAGGGAAATGGCAATTCAATAACATTCCTGTTCATGTGACTGTTTTTACATAGAGAGCACTATAAGCATATTCTTACTTTATCAAGTAGTCTCATGACAAAATCTCCTATAAATTTCTTGTGCTGCATGTTTGATTCATCCAGCAAGCAGATAAATTTGATAGCACAAACTCGCACATAATGGTCATCTCTGTTCTTACTGTAATATATTATGGTAATTATATATCAGAATTAACTTTTATATTTTCTGAAATAGTCTTATACATTTAAATTTATTCAGTAACCACATACACGCTTACATATGGTTTACTAAGATAAACCATTCCCTTCATTCTCACTTATGAAGCATTCCCTTCATTCTCACTTATTTATGGAGAGCTGGTTTGGTCTAGTGGTTGAGGCTCCAGGCTACAAAGTGGGACTGAGTTCAAGCTCTGCCTTAGCCATGAAAACCAGTTGACTGGCTCCCTCTTTCACTCTCTCAGCCCATCCCACCTCAAAAGGTTGTTGTTTGAAAAATAGGAAGAAGATGGTGTTGGATATGTTCGCCATCTTGAGTTATTTGTAAAAATAATAAAGGCAGGATACAAATAAATAATGCTTATTGTTGCCCAGTCAAGTGTTTAGTAGCAAGAGTATCTTTCTATATAATACTCATAGTACTACAATCAAAAGTTTGTAGCATTTTATATTAATGACTGGTATTTATGAGTCTTTTAAACACTGACAATTTTCAATACCAGTTAATTATATTTTGTTATGAAAACAAAAAAGACAGATTGTCTCCATACTAAGATTGAAACAAAAGATGCCAATGAATAAATCTCAATATCTTTTTTAGGTAGGTCAAGACTAAAAAAATCTGCTTATTCAGCATTCCATCCATGGTTAACCAAGTCATAAAATCAAGATCTAAAATCTTGATCCTATCAAATCTATGTTAGCTAAATTCAAAGGAATCCAGCATATCTATTTTGATTTTTACTACTTTTTCCCTGTGAAGTCTCCTTAGTTCTGTAAGGAGTCCTTTGAATCCATGGAAATGACTGAGCAGCTTTTCTGATACTGAAGTTAGTGTTCAAAAAACCTAGAGAGCAATTATAACTGCCTCGCGCTTTTCATGGTGAGCTCCTAGCAGCCTAGTATATTTAACTTTCGTACCAGTTATCTGAATTTAGAATTTTCAGTAAATGGACTTAGTAACAGAAAGCGCTACATCAGTTTTCACGAATACATAATATGGGCTTAAGTTTAATAAATTAGAACCCCACATTAAAATTAAATGTGAGCAAAACAATACCGGGAAAGAGATGATATCAAATTCTATGAAAATACTATAGATATAATTAATGTTAACTATTATAGAACAAGGTGATACTGACCTTTCTGTAACAACATTTGCTGCACATTGATCTCCAAGATTTTCAACAAAAGCGTACACCTCCTGAACGAGTCTTGAAATTAATTTATATTTAAAAGGTGAACACAAAAAGGAAATTAAAATACTATAACTTAATAATTTATTATTGATTATGCTATCAATCACTATAAATTCACAGTAAAACAAATATAATGTGTTAGGCTATTTTATTCCCAAGAACAGCAGGAATCTGCTGAGTGTGTGACAGCATAAAAATAGACATTGAGAAATAAGTATGGTTTTTACCTTTGATCACGCCTGAAAATAGTTCCAAACAAACAAGCCTCAATAAGGAGTTCAATGTAGTTGCCAGCATTTGAAAAGGAATTTTCCACAGTAGTTATTTCACCAGAAGGAGGAAATAGCCAAGACTGACAGCAGTGGCTTACCAGAACATTAAAAATTCCAGTCTTTGTAGATGAAAGTTCAATCATTTGAAACATAATCTGAGAGAAGGGAGGAAAATGTAATTGACTGTAAAATAAAATAAAATACAGAAGTTGTATTTCATATAGATATGAAATAGTCAAACAGAAGGATTCCCCCTCCCTCTTGTAGTTATCCAGACCCCCTCTAAACTAGCTCCCTGGTGTTGGGTAACCTCTAGTGCACATCTGGAAACGAATTAAAAAGCGGAAGAGAAGTCCAATTATTTGAGTGGAAATCTGCTTGGCTGACATTGAATGATTTCCACAAAAGCATTATTTTAGTATCTTCTTAAAATTGTTAAGCCTTCTTTTAATGGTTATATAATAACCGGGTTCTATTATAGCAGTTTAATTTAAGAAATTGAATTTTACTTGATGCCATTTTCTTCTGACACTCTAAATTTTTATGAGAATGTTATTAAGTAATTTCTCTAGATGTCATGGAAGAATTCTCTCTTTCAAGAGGGAAAATATAAAGATTCTCAGCATAAGTCATTAACTGTAAACTTGCATTAGTACCTTTTCACTAAAGAATACAAAACACAAACTGAGAAAGCAATGTACTAGGAATTATTTCAAAGTAAATGATTAGAGATCTATAGTAGATAAGTTGTTTCAATATTTAAAAGCATTTCCTAAGGTATATATTTTTATGTAAACATGATGCAACTTTAAATGGAGATTTCAGGGAAGTATTATACTGGTTGAAAAGAAGAATATAATTAGTCCGCAGCTTACAACTGATCATTTAACGACTGTTCAAAGTTATGACAGTCTCGGAAAGGGTGCTTTACATCCTATAAACATCACGCTGCCCCTCCCCGCCCGGTCACGGCATTTCAGGTGCTTGGTCACTGGCTGGCCAAGCGCCTCACAACCATGTGATACAAACTGCAATCTTCTCTGTTGGCTTCCCCAGAAAATAAGTTGGAAAGCCAGCAAGGAAGGTTGTAAGCAGACAGGATGGAGGGGGAAATTTTCATTTTGAAGATTTCAGCTTGGTTTTGCAGCCCCTCCCCTGTGGAGCTGAAATCTTCAGCAGGCAGCTTTTTGGCTCTTTCTACTTAATAACACAGGAGACTGCTTATCAACTGCAACCAGGAATGCTATGATTGCAGCCGTTGAGTGAAGCAGTCATATGGGCATCTCGCTTAACAACCAGCAACCAAGAATTCAGTCTCAATTGTGTCTGTAAGTTAAAGACTACCTATATTGAGACAGCATAACGGGAATGAATCAAGAAGCTTAATTCAGCTGCCCAGAGTGACTTTTCAGAGTAAGATGGGCAGCATTAAAAATTAATAAATAATCAGTTCATAGACACTTTTTCTATTCCAAGTGAAGGTGAGTTCTCCATAAATTCTTGCAGTTTGGGAATTAACCATTTTTAGCTGTTTTCTACTGTTGGAATATTCGGATATTTTTAGTTTAGATTTTATTGTTTCGATGCTTGCTTGCATTAAAATGGCTTGTTTTAAATTCTATGGTTAAATAAATGTATATTATTACATTCAATGTCTGGGAAAATGGGGGTGAGGAAGCTTCCATCTGTTGTTCAGTATCTTGGCTTGATCTGAAACTGGTATCTATCATTTCCTGGTGAATCAGAAGCTTCCTGAGTCACAGTTCAGGAAAAGTCAAGTAAAAAAGATGCTTCCATATTTCAGTTTTAGTCTACATAGGTTCATTGTCTGAATACAGCAATTAAAAATCAAAACAACAGCAATTTTAAATATTTTACCTCTTTTATTTTTGAGTATGCTTCACTCTCGAACTTGGCTGTGGTAACAAGAATTTCAGGATCAAACACAAGTTGAATAAAAGCTTTTAAATTAGGCCAAAAAATCAGTTGTGTGTTGCTAAGAGCAAATATTATTTTCCATGACATTTCAAAAGCTTGTATGCATAGAGACTCAGAAGATTCCATAAGCTGAAGGCAAGCAGAAATCATATTTAGTTCGAGACAAGACCAAATTTAAAATACACAATAAAGCCTTGCATTGTTTTGTAGGAATTACCTTGGAAACAAATATCTTCATGCAGTGAAAAACTGGCAAAACATGGTCAGAAGGAAGAATCATTATTGCTTCTAGTGCAGACTCTAACATTCTTTTGTAGTCCTGAACATCGTAAAAATATTGTTCTAAATGTTTGTCCTTGGAAAGATTTTGATAATTGTTGAGAACAAAATGAAGACAAACCCACTGATCATGTATGTAACGTGCTACAATTTTCCCCCATCCTTCATGAGATGCTGCTTCTTCAACTGAACTGTAAAAAAAATAAAAATCAGATTACAATGTTGAGTAAATTTTAGTAATATATAAATTATTATATATTATTATATATAAAAGATATATTAAAAAAGAAACAGAAATGGCAATTTCTGTATTAGAGCAACCTGCCAAACCTATATTTAGAAGAACATATATTCACGTAAGCTTTCTCAAATTTTAATTAAGCTCTAAAAGGAATGATAGCTATAAACCAATAATTAGAAAGTCATAAAAACATCTATAAAATATTTTGATTGTTAAGGTAAAAATTAAAAATTGTATTTATAATAATGTAATGGTAAAATATTTCAGTAGAAAAAAATTGTTGAGCAATATATGTACCTATTTTGTTCCATGTTGTTAGGCTTCTTTAATACATGGTTAAGTTGGGTGCTGAAAATAGCTGTTTTAAGGGAGTCAACAGCTGGTAGAAACTGAAGCTGAAGGTCTGGCTTCTGATCCATAATTTCACAAACAACTCTTAATGCTGCCATACTTACTACCTTCTGAATCTGTTCTTCAAGTTTTATGTCCTAAGTGTAAATACAATGGTCTGGTTGTTGTTGTTGTTTAAAAAAAACCCTGTAAAATATGTACTCATTTGAAGATAGGTAACACTGTACATATTATGGGCATTTCTCTCTCTAATAAACAAACAGTTAGCTCAGCTTTCTTAATCTGGCAAGTGGAATAAAGAAGAGAACCTAATCAAGCTTCTGTCTTCCCCAAACATATAGTTTTAACAATTATTATGACTAATTTAAGTCACGTTGATTTGAAAAGGTCTGCTCTAAATACAATTCTTGATCCATCCCAATTCTTCCAACAATTCAAGTTATGTACAATCAAGGGGAAAAAAAACCAAGCCTGGACTCATTTGTACAGTTTTAAAATACCAAAAAATCACGATAACCATTCAGCTTTATTAAGCATACCAATATTATCTATTTCACAATACTAACATGTTTTTTATTTTTTGTATGATCACAACACTGCCATGTTAAAATTTTATTTGCTTCCCTGCCAATTCAAAAGCAACAAGTGAAAACACAGGAGAATCACTTATTTTATGGTACAGTATTATTTTCACTATTTTAAAGCTTCCGAACCATCTACTGATCTGCAATTGTTTAACGGAGTATTGAAAAATTGGAACTTATTGCCATTTTATTCTCATTAAAGTGATAACAGTCTAGAAAATTCTAGCTTGCAAACTATGTTCAACATCATTTTAATACTGTAAACAGAATAAAGTATATATTTTTTAATTCAAATAATGTCTTTATAAAGCTTTATTCTGAAAAAATACCTGTGCTTACTTTGACAATATATTCACCATGTATACTAAGTACAATAACTAGCTGATTCTGACTGACGGTGTTATTCAAGAACAGCTGTTACTGAGGCTTTCTAAGAGTTAATATACTATCTGCATGCGACTCCACCAGTGATGTTTGCCAGGGTGAGAGGCATCAAGGGGCAGAGAGATGAGCCTACTAAGTTGAATCCCTGCCCCCTTTTATATGTGGCAAACTTTTTCCCAGTTAGCAAACATTGTTTAGGGTTTATTATCTGACATTGGGGCAGACACTAAACCAATAAATAATGCAGATGTGGTAGCATTTCCTCCAGCATCAACAGGGAAAATCCAACCGATGCAAGCTTTGGTTCATTCTAATCTATAGGCCATAGTAAGCTCAACAATACCTTGTCATCACGTATCTCTTGTAGATTGTATAGAGAAGTATTTATTAAAGATGAGACAAAAGTGCAGAGAAATGGTCCTTTTCTCCATCCACTGGCTGAATAAAAACTTATTAGTTCTGACAACACTTGCAAATATAAATTACAATGTTCCAGATGTGACATCTAAAATGAAAAAATAAATTACTCATCTTTGCAATAATAAATAAATAAATAATGTGCACATCAAGACACAATATATTGATACAATTGTCCATTTATGCATGCAGAACAAGATTTTTCTCTAACTCTGATTGGCAGCTACAATCTTGTAATATTGTAATGCCTTTCCATTTCCAAAACATTTTGCCACTTTCTATAACAACTAGCACTTTTTGGCACAGAAAAAAAGCCTGCCTGTATTTTATTGGATTTTCTAAGTTGCAATGAGACACACACAGAGCATTCATTTTTCATGATATATGCCCAGATATGCAAGCAAGAAATATATTTGAACAGTCTGCATGTAACCAACAATTTCCTTATATTATCATCTGAACATATTATTACATAACAATAATATTTCCATACAATAACTAATCAGCCAGAGCAAATTATATAAATCAATATACATTAATTATTGTATTTGGATGTGTAATACTTTTATAACTATCACACAGATTAGAAATATTTTGAAACTGCTACCTGCTATAAATGATTGGGGACTTTTTAAGCATTCCAAATAAGTTCATTTCAGTATATAAATTACTACAGGTGTTTGCCAGACTGGTTTCTGCACTAAATACTTACAATATTTAGTTCATTTGCAGTGAGTCTTCTGAGGAGAAGATCCAAAATACTTTCAGTGGCGAGCATAATTGACTTCTGCAGAAATACTATTATTTCATCTATATAAAGAATTATTACATTAAAACATTTTGAGTACATTTTTGCTTCTAAAGTAAAAATAGAAATGGGATTTAGACTATTTTACCACTGAAACAGGTAAAACACACATTATACAATTAGGTAAGCAGAAACTAAAATGAAAGTTCTTTTCTTTTGCTGACATCTTTATAATAAATAAAAACTAGAAAAGAGAATTCCTTTGTCCTTCGCCTCTCTGAGCCTTCTAACCTGCCCTCCTCCCTCTACACAGAGCAGATCTAAGAATAATGCTCCTCCCAATTAGAAGAGAATCTAGAACTTTAGACACCCCCAACTAGATCATGTTTTTAAACTATTAAATAAAATTTTAAAACATCTTTTTATTCTTACTTATTTTAACAGTTGTGATAATTCAGAGTGGCCAAAACAGCTTTATGAAACGCTTGTCTGGGAAGTGGGCTCAGACTCTTCCCTCTCGTCCTTCTTTTGAAAAAGCATCTTTGGGACCTAGATGACTGAGAATCTCCAGAGACACAACAAGATAGGATGGTAATGGCAGAACCCCAGAAGGATGAGAGGGAAGAGTCTGAGCCTAGAATGAGGCATACAATGATGAATGAATGAATGAATGAGTCTTAAAAAAAAAAACAGCAAGGAAGAGGAAAAGAGAAAATTGGTTTGCCTTGATGGGTGAGAATGAGGAGTTACTTAGAGCAGGGCTTTTCAACCAGTGGTATGGGTACCACCTGTGGTACATTGGCACCTGGCAGATGGTACACGACCATCCTAGAAAAGTGGTAGCGGGGGAGGGGAATGAGCTGCACCGGTGGCAGCACCGCACAAGCCTGAGCGAGAGATGGCTGGAGCTGCAGGGCTGTCAGGGCTCAGCGGAAGCGCCAGGATCAGTGCCGCTTTCCAGCTGATCGGCGCTTCTTCGGGGCTGTCAGGGCTCAGCGGAAGCACCAGGATCAGCGCCAGGCTCCAGCTGGAGCTCGGTGCTGATCTTGGTGCTTCTGCTAAGCCCAGAAGAAGCGCCGATCAGCTGGAATGTTGCAGCATCTCCAGGGTCTTGTGATTTACATTCAGATGCTTGGCAACTGATTCATATTTATGACGGTCACAGTGTCCCAGGGTCATGTGAAGTGACCAAAACCTGCTGCAACCACCCAGCAGACGGGGGGAATAAAAACCAAACACCCCCCTCACCCCACCCCCGCTGCCAATTCTCAACAGAAATGCTCACAACAATGAAAACCTCGGACAGGAGAAAGAGCGCCACTGGGTGGGCAGGCAGGTGTCTTGCTCGGCTGTGGCTTGGGGGGCACTTTTTTCAGTGCCGTTAACTTCAAACAGTCACTAAGCAAACTGTTGTAAGTCGAGGACTACCTGTACTTTATCACTTTTTTCCTTTTTTTTTTTTTTGGTCATCAAGTTTTTGACACCTTGCTAGGCGACTGGTGGTACTCGGATATTGCCATATCCTAAAAGTAGTACAATGGGTGAAAAGGTTGAAAAGCCCTGACTTAGAGGAGAGAGGCTGAACCTGAAAGAGATGAATAAATGATCTAGCACTTTGGAACATCATAAATTTGGCCCTCAACAGTTTGCCTTTCTGTACAAACATAAAATTGTAGATTCAAAAACTTTTGCATGTTAAGGCTCAGACCCCAATTCATGTCTTTGAAATGGCTAGTCAGATCACTACAAAAGTGATTGTGTGACTTCATCTTTATTACTAACAGCAAACATTTGATGATGGAATCCAAGTTATGTGATCAACATTTTCAGTGTGCCTATCTACCCAAATAAGGTGAAATAATTTTCATAGACTTTATGTTGTTATTCTAATTAGAGGATCAAGAATAATAAAGTTAACATACTGAAGATACCACTAACCAACTTCTGGTCTAGAAGTTTTGATTGAACAAGTCTGCATTATCTTCAATAGTAATTGTAGGCTTTTATCAACTTTCAGTGATGAGATGTAGGGATTGGTGCCAAGTTTCAGCAATACATCCAGCAGAGGATTTAAGAGAGACTTCAGGCCAATCCGTTCGGTGCTGCTATTGTCTCTATACAAAATAAACAATAAAAGGATTATCACAAAATGTATGCTGACTTCTGGAAAGTAAAGCGCCATTTTCTAAAGCAGAAGGTATCACATAGCACTGATGTCACACCTACACCTTCCAAACAGCAACAAGTAGGAGAAATCACCAGAGTCTAAATTTTATGATCTTGAGAGATATCAACACCAGAAGACACTAGGTTTGGCATATTTCAATTCTGAGTCAGGAGTATCGTTTGTAAAAAGAGAATGGAAAAAAGAAACAGACTGAACATTTAAATCAGATTATTTTAAGAATATGTTATAATCAATTATCAGGAGTGGACAAATCCTTAAATACTACCCAAGAAAACAAATATATTAATAAGTTAGAAAGCCTCCCTTCGTTCTGACTTGAGATTGGTCCTTGTTAGCCTCTTTTTACAGGGGTAGTCAACCTGGGCTCTTTTATGACTCGTGGCTCAGGAATTCTGGGAGTTGAAGTCCACGAGTCATAAAAGAGCCAAGGTTGACTACCCCTGCTCTTTTGTATCTAATGGAATAACCTTATACTTACTTATATGTGTGCCTTATCTCTTCCACATCTGCAGCTAGAAGAATCATTGTAGCCACCCGCTTAGCATCAAACCAGTCCGGAAGACAATATTCTGCTGTTGTGGAAAAAAACCACGATCTTTTGAATATGAAAAGTATGGTATGCAGGTACAAATATATTTTAAAGTGTACAATTTTGCGACAATAATTATCAGTTCAGCTCAGATAAAGGCTGTTGTATGTAGAGTTTGAAATACTTTTTTTAAAAAAATACATACATTGAAATTGAGAAAGTACAAGAAATTTCTATTTTAATTTTGGTTTTGTAAACGTGAAATTTAATATTCAAATTTAATTATTATTTTTTCGAGACGAGACACTGAATATGTCTTAGCACACTGGCTGTGAAATTAGTTGCACTTTTGAGTTCTCTTAATTACTTACTAAGCAGGTAGAAGTAAATATGTAGGTTTCTTTTTCTCTTGCATAAAATCAGCTTTTTCAAAAATTTATATTAAGTCTAATGTGAATGCATTCTACACTAGGAATCAACTGTTTCGTAAATGTGTCCCTACTTTTAACAGTATTATTACACAATACTTACAACTGGCAAGAGGTGTTTTCAGGTAGTCCTCCACAAGAAGCTGCACATAAACACTTAATGCTGTTTTATCTTGTGGGACTTCGCAGTTTAAAGTCTTTTGAAAGTGCTTGTCATTTATGTGCAGCCAATCACAAAGCTGAGCAAAACAAAATTAAACACCATTTGTACCTCTCATATTATTTTTCTATAAACAAGTAGAGGGAAGAATAATGTTAATTCACAGACAAGACAGCTGGCTTGGGCAGGAATGCTAGTTCAACCTGAATTCAACTACTCTTAAGTTTGAAAATTTTACATTATAAACCTAGCATCATAGGTACATCACCCGGACAAGTTGGAACAAAAACATGGGGGAGAAAACGTATCATGCATCTGGGCTTCTGAGCAGAGTGCTGATGTCATATAATCCTTCACAATGAGATTAGCAATAATCATGGCAAACAATTATTACTCAGTTACATAACTGAGGATTTCATTTTTCTCACCATTCTCCACAAAGCGGTTCCTCTTCCTAGTGATTCCTCTGGTTTCAGATACGTAACGAAGTTTGAAATATCCGAGAGTGATACTTTTTGCTAAAGAAACAAATGTTATTAGAATTTATTACAATACGGGGAATATAAATATTGTGTCAAGTGTTATTTTAAAAGATAGAATACTTCCATAGTGCACATTTCCTTTCTTTTAATTAGGTAGCATTGCCTTCTTCATATTCTGGCACTGCCATATTTTTCTTCAAAAAATACAAATTCTAACCAAGTTTGACAACACAATGTTTTAGCACAGCCTTATTTAGTAATGAGCTTTTAATCAATTAAAATTAGTTTTTATCTTTTTAAAAAGGCAATCCAACTTAAATTTATAAATAATTGATGTGGCTTCTTTATAAAGGAGAGATAATAGATTTTAGTACCACATTTTGCTCCAAAACTCAATATCATATGTTCATGTTATCATAATATCATATCATTCTTTTTAAATTAACAGAAATGTTTACATGTCTGCTGTTGCAAAAACCAGCATGAACACACTCTGTCTCTCTTAAAATGTTCTCTCCTTTTGTTGCTGAAAAAAGTGTTCACTTGTCCATTTGCTATTTCTTTTGTTTATATGAAATGAAGTGTAACCCATATTAGACTATTAGAACTATATCTGATGCACAAGTTTCAGACAAAATTGTTCAAGCACTAACTTAATCTCCATGGCCACTTTCAAAGAGGAAATACACACAAGCATATTTTCTATCATTAGAGGCAATATGCTGACTCTGTAAACCACTTAGAGAGAGCTGTAAAGCATTGTGAAGCAGTATATAAGTCTAAATGCTATTGCTATTAAATTTCAACATGCAAACTGCTAGTAAATTTTGGACCACAATTCTTCATTACATGATCAAATAGAAGAGCAAGTAGCAATTATTTTCAAAAACAACAAATATCAATAAAACAGCAATCAGATTATCTTTCTTGAGCCCAAGCCATTTAATTCTGATGCATTTATGGTGTACATAAATTTGAATTAATGACCAGCTGAATTCCTGACATATTTTATACCAGGGAGAGCAAACTGAAGTGCACAGTTTCTTGGTAACTTCCAATATCATACCTTAGACATAATAATGTAATCATGCAGTTGTTCATTTTAATGCAAGATAAATACACACATGAAAGCTGACTTCTTTTTTTCTTTAAAAAAAATTGATGGCTAGGAAGTCAATTTAAATAGGAGAAATATTTCAGTTTGGATTTTCAAGAAGAAATCAAACTAACTGGGACTCTTGCATTTTGAAAGGGAAAAGTTTTATCTTTGGAAGCACTAGGAAACAATTAAGTGTATGTGACGAATTGCCTTTCCTAAAATATATATAAAAAAACCTATCAGGATTGGAATACTTACTACCAAAAATGATGATGATGATTCTATATAGCCAACATTTAATACTCTGTTTAAAAACTATTTTTATACATATTACAGTGTAATATGCTTTTGACCATTTTTGCTTTATTTTTTTCCTTCCGTATATTAAAGCAACCATTTGTTTAAAAATATAATACTTACTGCATCTATTAAGTGCATAGCTGCTTTAAGAAGAAAACACTGAGCAGCTCCTCGTAGAAGAATCTGATGTGTGATCATAGTACACTGCAGAACGTTTCTGTAAATGGACCAAATACATGTTTTGAAAAGTCAAACAGTGAACTGAGTATACAGAAAATTCACAGAAACAAAATTCAGCACATCACCTTAATGCAAGGAGCCCTTTGCTATCCAGTGCTCTACACTGTGGTATATGTGCCAAGGCCATGGAGAGAAACAAAACAGGAACAGCGCACCAGTGCCTACTGCTCATCTTCTGAATAAATTTTAACAAAAAGCTACCTTTAAAAAGAAAAAAAACCAGCATTATTCTCATATTGAAAACAGAGGTTTGTCTAGCTTTGGTTCTACATGGAAACCACTTATGGACTTTTTGTTCGAGACTGAAAAGAAATGCTGTATTAATTTTGGGATTTGACACTTGGATGTGTTTATGATTATAGAAGTACTATATAATAATTAACTTCAGATCAAAAGGTTAATATGTGTTATATTTGTAACTGTATCAAGTAAAATAGGAAGCTTTTTTATTTCTTCCTTTTCCCTTCATCCTTTGCAATATGTCCCTTCTTATTTTTCTCTCCAATTTTTTTATATTTCATTCTTTGTAAAAAATTTAATGATGTATAATAAAAAATAAAGCTAATTTCAAACATAAATGGGAATAAATATATTGTCTCAATCACAATTTAGATTATAATCTTCAGATCTATAGAATGTCTTCTAATTTTAGCCCAAGAGACAGATTTTTTGACCTGGGGGATAAATTTACAGGATAAGTGAGAATGAGAACGTTGTAAAATAAGATAGGGCAAGACTAGTCACAGTATGCTGTTTTATTTGTTCCAATTTTATGAGTGTTTAATATCACTTGTGCACTTTCACTATCATCCTCAGATTCTGAGCTCCATTTTAATGGAAAGAAGGAACAGTTTAACACAGTAACCACATTCATGAAATTTAGCAAGTGATTTGGGGCTAATTTCTCTCTTTCAGAAGGCCACTGCACCACTATTGCCATTTTTGGTACATGCCAATAAAATCTTCTGCATTATGGGTCTGTGCCAACCTCGGAAACCTAGTGATATCACCAGACAAGCCCTGCATAAACACCAATCCCCATGTCTTCATCATCATCATCAATTTATATCTGTCTTTGTGTCAAAAATAAAAGTAAATGCAGCTAGTAATAATAAGTTATCCAGAAGCAGAGAACTGACATTTATGCTATTCCAAAATAACGCCATTAACTACACATACTTTTTTCACTTTCTGGAAGGCTTGTGAAGTAAGTTGCCATGAAATTCTGCAGAATTATTCCTAATGGTGGACAAGTGCCCATAATCTGACCTGATACCCTGTAAAGTTAAAGCAAAAAGATAATTTAAATAAATTCAGTGCCAAGGCTACAATTTAATTTTATCACAACATTTTATTAGGTTATTGAATAAATTTGCAGATTATCAAAACCTAAACAGAGATATGTTTCATGTTGATAAATAACTAAAATATTAGAAGAATATCCCACGGTATTCATTTGGTCTGGTTGCGAGATAAGAGAGTGTAAAGCTGATTTTTGTGCATCCTGCTTTCCCTAGTAGATTCTCAAACTTAAAAAGAAAAGACTCATCTTGCTTGCTGGAATGGGGAAAACTGTACCCAGAGAGTTCTGCAGGACAGAAGTTTCTCAAAATCAGACAGAAGCATTTTGCCTGAATGGAGCTCCCATTCATAAAAGCTGCCTATGGGAGAGACCCTCTTCTTTCTCTCAATTACATCTAACTAAATCAGGAAGATCCCCCACCCATAAGAGAGGATGTGCAGGAGACTGTTGGGGTAACAACAGGCAATAACACCAGCTTTCATAAAAGTCCTCTTTGCACCCAATGATACCTGGATACCCCTCTTGACTGAAACAAACAAACAAAAATACAATTTAGATCAGATAACATTCCAAAAGCAAGCTATCCTCAAAGAACAGACAACCATTTTCTGAATAAACAAACTCACTTCCTGATTCACTTTTTTTTTTGACAGCCTTGGAACCCCTTCCGATCACAATTATTAAATATGTTGAGAAGGAAATGAGGATAGCATTGTTTTAAAAAGAAGGCCCTCAAAGAGAGAGGGAGAGAAATCCAGCCCCTTTCAATCTGCATGACATAAGTCTAACCATTTTACATCATTTGCATCCAGTATGGCCCTTGACCTGTCAGAAAAGATAGATGTGGCTATTTCTGCACTATATAATGAATTAACAGGCAATAGTGGCATCCAAGAGAGTTATTTTCTGGAGTTTCTCTTACTTCTTTTCTCCCTGTTTTAAATGTAGGTGCATCAAATATTAATGTAACTGAGTGATAATGAGAGTGTTATTTTTTCTCCTCCCTATTCTTCCCTATTCTGACTATAGTTCAACTGCTATTAAAGATAGGTACAAATATGCAGTTTTTCCCCAAAATGCAATAAAAGCTGAAACAAAAAAAACCCTTATCTTTCAACATCTGCAAAAATTCTCTTACTGAGTTTTTCATTAAACTTTTTCATTAAACTATGTATTTACCTGCTATAAAGAGAACTTTCTGAGAGAGCATCCATTAAAGGGCCAATAATGAACTAAACGAAAGAAATTAGATTTTCATTAAAAGAAATAAAACAGACATTAATTGCATTTTATTTGTTCTACAGTAAATATCTTTTTAGATATAGACATAATACAGTTAATCAGGGAACAATTAAAATCTTCAGGTAAGATTATATAGGAACACTAGCTTCAACTGTTGAAAAATAAGGAATTATGAAGCAGCTATATTAAAAAGACTTCAAACATTTCCTCCCAGGGGGATAGTGGCAACAGCTAGCTAGGCCTTCCTTAGAGCAGCGGTCCCCAATCTTTCCAGCTTTGTGGACCAGGAGCGTCGGCAGCAGGGAGAAAGGATGGTTCTGCATGAGAGGTGAGTCAGCATGTGTGCGCAGCTTCATTTGTGCAAGCAACAGGTGCATGGACGCACCCCGCTCACACAAATGGAGCTTTGTGCACACGTTTTCCCACTGCTTGTGGAAGTGGAACTGCATGCGCACACTTGCCCGCCCATTGCTTGGGCACCCTGGTTCCCAACAGGCCACAGGCCAGGACGGGGCCACGGCCCAGGGGTTGGGTATCCCTGCTTTAGAGGATTCATAAAAATATCTTATATGGATGAGCAGCAAACCTTACCTCTGAAAATCCTTGTGATGATGGAAGACATTTTCTTTGCCAGATTTCAAGAAAGTGAATGACACTTTCCTTTGCCAATGTCTTGTTTTCACTCTCAAACATTCTTTTGTAAATGCACATATGCCATGAAGGATGGAACGTCCAACAACCTGTTGTGAAAAAAAAAATCTGTACACTTTGCATAAGCTATTTCCCTTGATTGCATGTCCATACAAATAATTTAGTTTGTAAGAGCTGATTATTTTATATAGTTACAGCAATTATGAGAAACATCACAATGAAAACAATCTACAAAGAAAAACAATATTAAAAATGGGGATGGCTGGAAAAGGATCTCTTCTGTCAACCTTAATAATGTAGTTGGTTTATACAAGACAAGCAGTTACTTATATAGTCAAAACTTAAACTAATCAAAACTTTAAAGATAAAAGATGAATGCCTTTAATTGGGTCTAGAAAGCAACTGAGAGATTAATATCTGTCAATGTAATGTAGCAGTTATCACTAAGTAAAACTTCCAGATGCAATGTAATTGAATGTAGAGTTCAAGAGTCGCATTAGGGGAGACAGTATAGACTCACCTCCCTAACTAACAGCCCTCTTTCCTAGGGTAGCCAAGGAAATCTTGGGGCGAGCACTGGACAACCTAAACATTTTTATTCTGCAGGATTTAACTAAAGAGGCAAAAGTGACTTATAACATCATCTGATCATCTAATCATTATTCTACCAGTATAGGACTACTGAGGACTGTCTATCTCTCTCTCTCACCTCAGTGATGCTTGGCAGATGTCACAAGTTGCTATACGTTGCAAAATGGTCAAGGATTGCTTAGCTGGAAGTTGCTGAGAATTTTGGCTTCAGAGGTGCAACAAGGCACATTCTGAAACTAATATTCTGTTTGGGTACAGCTGTTGCCATGACGGTGAAGGAGTGATGTGTTAAGATCATGAGCTTTTCTTATTGATTCTGGACTGGCCTCCAATATCAACTTAAGAATAGAGAATGGGTTAAAAAGACTCTGTCTCAGAAAAGTGATGTCTCTGAATTTGCGACATTTTATTTCTTGCTTATACTTCAATGATACTGAAGCCCTGGATAATATGAAAGTACTGAGATGGTCCAAGGTCCAGTTGCAATCAGACTAGGTCAACTGGCAAAAATGCTAAATTAGGAAGCAGAAATCCAAGCAGCAAAATCTGAGCAGCCCTTGAGACAATTCCTGCCCTAAGACTCTAATGCAGTGTTTCTCAACCTTGACAATTTTAAGGCATGTGGATTTCAACTTCCAGAATTCCACAGCCAGCAATGCTGGCTGTGGAATTCTGGGAGTTGAAGTCCACATGCCTTAAAATTGTCAAGGTTGAGAAACACTGCTCTAATGCCTCTAGGTCTACACTAGTTTGCTTTAACCCAATACCAAATCCTGTCCTTAAGTTTCTTTAAGGTGGTGCTCATGAGCAGTAAAGCTGTTTTGCAGAATAGGTAAGCAAAAGAAAAAACAAGAACGGTTCTTCCTTTTCCATCGCAGAACATAGCATGGCTCTGAGGGCCAGACCACTTAATTGTGAACCAAATGTTTTGTATATTCTATAAACACACAGAATGATTGCCTTGTGGATAGAAAGGTGGGACATATTATCAAATTAATTAAAATGATGATTTTACATTTCACTCAACCAACAATGTAACCTGTGATAGGGGAATACCAAGATGAACTAACTTCATTTTATGTTTGTTACCAACTACAAAGGCTAAAAATATTTCTAAAGGACATGAATAATCAATCACCAGTAAATTTTGCAGAACTGAAAATAAATTCAAAAATTTACTTGGTGATACCGAACATTAACAGGACTTATCTTACCCCCCCCCCCCAAAAAAAACCCCTTACCTATTTCTTCTGATACTGCAAGTTCATACAAGCTATTCAACTTTGGCAAAACTGGTTTTATAACATGTATCTGAAATTGGAACACAGAAATTACTGTATTAACATGCTTTATTAATAAAAAGTATAATCTTAGATAAGAGCTAGATATTGATCTTTAAGATCTTCACAACAGTAAGTGATAGGGACCATGAAAATGTTAGCATAAATATTCAGTGTAATTCACACACAGGACTTCTTTTATGAACTTTACATTTTAAGTCATTCTGATTTTAAGTCCCTTCAACATATTTTTAAAAAATATGTAATTACTAAGATTGAATCATTCACTCTATTTTCAATTTCTATCCATGCTCTCTGAAGGTAAAGCAATAACTTCTATAAATGCTAATGTATCCATTTAGCAATAAAATAGTTCTGACATCTCTATTCCTGTCTTCATCTATTTTTTATATCTTACAACTATATCAAACCCTCACATATAAATTTGGTAAATACTGTAAATAAATTTTGTTTACAATAACAAAACCAATGCTCTTTAGTAACTATATTTACCTGATTTCCTTCCAAAGTCTCCATTATTAAAATATAATTTTCCCAAAACTGGGTAAATTGATCTTTTTTTTCAGCACACCACCAAAACAAACAAGATCCTATAAGATAAGCAAATCAGATGTTTTGTCTTTTAAGCAAAGTTATATAAATAATGCCTATGCCTAAATTAATGTTAATAATAGAAAATAATAATGCAATCTCTGATCCCTTCAAATAATCCTATCACTATCAACAGGAAATATCTCTCAATACAATGTCCAAGTGGGCAAATGTCCAAGTGGGCAACCAGAAATAATATTTTCATTTAAGAGTATAATTCTTCCTCTCTTTATAATTCTCTATATGTGGAAAAGACCTCAATCATTTTCTCTCTTCCTCTCCTAACAAGCCCTATATTGGTACTGTATTGATTATATGCCATCAATTTGTTGTCAACTCTTACGATCAGACAGATTTTCTCCAGGACAATCTGTTCCCACACAACTGAGTCCATCCTCCTTCCCTTTTCCAGTATTATAGACTTCTCAAACACTGTTACTATCTCAACCCAATAAAATAGCTACATACAATCTAGACTGGAGGTTTTCTTGCACCTCATTTGTTATTCACTAGGTAATTTTTTTTATCAGCATCCAACACACAGACTACTCTTATATTTCCCAACTAGGTTGCATCCTACAGGAACTAGTATGAAGCAGGTTCTCCTAGAGCAGGTATGTCAAACTCGCGACGTCACATGACGTCGCGCAACATATCGGGCCAGTTTTGCCATTGCCGACAATGGGGTGGGCGCGGCTTCCATGTGATGCGTCTGGCCCGTGGGCCAGCAGTTTCACACCCCCGTCCTAGAGTGACCTAGATCAATGTATTGAAGTTTGATAGGGTATGGAATGGCTATGACAATGAAAAGATGTACTACTATACTTTTCTTTTTTTCTTAACCTATTTTTGCTCACCTCATTCTATTTGAAGCTTAGGCTAGCATTTCCATTTATTGTTTTTAATGCAAATCCAAGTTCATTCTTAATGAAGTATTAACTTCACTAGCAACTGAATGAACAATGAAGCAATACTGTAGTCTTCACTCTCCTTATAGTGCCATCCATCTTCTATCATGGGAACTTTTTAAAAAGCTATTAATCAATTTCTGCACATTGTCTTGTGACATGATCTTTGTCTGGAAAGAATAATTATTTCTCTTGAACAATCTATATTATAAATCTTTAGTTCTACCTTTTTTGTTTTTATCTGAGCAAATTTAGAAAATCCATAGAGACATATTGCCATAGTTTTCTCAGCTACATCTACATTTACTATGACTGATATGTTCCATCTTTGACTGAATCTATTCTATTAACATACCTATTGATTTTATTATCCAAGGCAATATTTGACTAAAAATATTTCCAGCAATTTGTACCTCCTAATCCAGAATTTTATGTATCTCAACTAATATCCCACCAAAGGCTTTTTTCCAGGCTAAGTAAGGAGTTTAAAGTACCATTCTTTTCACACAGGGAATGCATTTTGACTGCTATCTTCTGCAATGTTTTCAGAATTAAATCTTTTTTTTTCCAAATAGGGTGAACAGAAATTTACATGTTACAGATACATATCTGACAGAGATTTGTATAAGGCCGTCACAATTTATGGAATAATTCATGTCAGGATAGAATGACCATGGAGAAAGGTTTGATTACCATTTATTTCTCATTTATGGTCATCTAACTATAAGGACCTTGTGACAATAATAGTACTCCAGATTTAAAGCAATTTACTATGCCATTCCAAAACCTGACTAGCTGGCCTTGGGCTGGAAAGCCAGCACAAACATGCCTTTTCTCACAATCACTCCACATACTAAATGCTTGTAAGACCAGGCTTTGGGTCTAGTGCAGGGGTAATCAACCTTGGCTCTTTTATGACTCGTGGACTTCAACTCCCAGAATTCCTGAGCCAGCTGTGCTGGCTCAGGAATTCTGGGAGTTGAAGTCCACGAGTCATAAAAGAGCCAAGGTTGACTACCCCTGGTCTAGTATATGCCATTCAGAGCCGACAGATACCATTTCCATCGTCCAGGTTACACCTGCACTCCAAGGCCACTTTATCAGATACATCGACGGCTTTCTTCAACAAATACCGGGCTCTTTTCCGGCACAGAGCATCGCTCTCCGACAGTCCCTTTTGCACCACTTCCCAAAAGTTGCAAGAAAGCCTCGCATCCAGCAGAGAAGCTGCCTCGCCATGTGTGACACCGTTCTGTCGAGGAAACAGGACGTCGGAGAGGGCGCTCAGGACCAGCAGAGTCCGGTTCACCCGCGGAGCATCGCCGAGGGGCGACAGCACCAGGCCTTCCCAGACGAGACTCAGGGCGGCGCCATTTCTTCCTAACACCGGCAACAGCCTGCCGCCCACCAGCAACGCTTTCTCTTCCTCTTGCTCGTCTTCCCCGTCTCCTCGCAGCAGCTCCAGGGCGGCCGCCACGGTTCTCCTGAGCAGCTCGGAGTCACCCAGCCAAGGCGCCGCCGCACACAGAACCTCGACGCGGCCCTCCGTTTGCAAACCCTGAATCCCCGCGCAGCTTTCCAGCACTTCGCCGGCCAACCGCTCCGCCAGGCGGGGTCCGCAGACCAAGACGCAGGAACGCAGCACTCCACCGGCTGCTGTCATGAATCTCCGCCAACTCTCCGGGCCTCCACCCGCCGACGCGCCGCTCCCACTGAGAAGCGCCGGGAGGCAGCGATGCAGCGCCAGCTCCCAGGCCGCCCGTTGCGCCTCTTCGCCCTGGTTGCGCGGTCCGACACGTGTCGCCCGTTCCAAAAGGAAACGCAGCGCCTCCGCTCGCTCGAGGCTGAGCGCACCCTCTTCGCCGCACACCGTCCGCAGCAGCGCACCCCAATCGGGGCACTGGGAGAGCAGCGCGTCGGCCAGCACCGCATCCATAGCGAAGGGAAGCACGCGGCCTAGCAGTCACTTAACGCGCTGCTTGCCCGGTACTTTTCCCCAGCAGCCTTTGCGCTGAAGGCGGCTATAGAAGGACTGGCCTGACGATAGGGCTAGCTGCGCTTGCTAGGTTTGTTTTGGCAGCGCTTTTGCCATTCGCTGAACTAGACAGCTGTGAGGCAGCAATTCAGCTGGTGAAGCCAGTCCCCTTCCTGTATTATACAGTATCGCCCATTTACCTAATGCATGAGGTACGTCTACTACTTATAGGCAGAGTAGGACTAGGTCAGGGGTAGGCAACTTCGGCTCTTTTATGACTCATGGACTTCAACTCCCAGAATTCCTGAGTCAGCATAGCTGACTCAGGAATTCTGGGAGTTGAAGTCCATGAGTCATAAAAGAGCCGAGGTTGCCTACCCCTGGACTAGGTTAAGGATTGTGATTAGAGAAAGGGAAGCCCCGTACCTTAAGCCGAATAAGGTAAGATAAGATAACCTTTATTGTCATTTTTTTACTGTGGGCACAACGGCACACAACAAAAATGAAATTTAGTTGCCCGCTCTCAAAGTGAAACACATACATGACACACACACCTAAACATACTATATAGGAAGGAAACCCTTTAGGCAATGTAAGGACTGAGCGGGCAAAAAGTATTAATTGCACAGAACTTGCCAGATTTGCATGTTCACCCTTTGTTGCACACTGTGAGAAATTTTATATCCAAATGTATTTTATTCTTTTTACTGTTTCCATCTTCCGTTAAAATATTAACAGAATCCACAATGGTCTGAGAATCAGTGTCTCCACTAGATAATTGATAGTCTGGCTCAGAGTAAGTTGATCAAATTAAAATTAGCAAATTTCCTCAAACCCCCAAATATGTTACCCAGACATAATTCATATATCAAAGGATAAGGTCTGCAAACAGAGGAACTGCATGTTCCCAAGAACACACACAGACACACACACACCCTCATGCGCTACCCTAGAATCAGCAATTGACACCCTGGACAAACTCCCTCTATAAAAATCTGCTGTATCCCATTTCTCTACTGCCTGCCCCTAAAGGCAAACTGTTTTGTTTTTAGGAATAAATATTTCTTCCTCACAGCTGTGTGGATCTCATTTTTATTTATTCTTGCACAGCCCTGGCTGAGTTTGAACACCAAATTATTATTCTGACAACACTTAAGCATGAATTTATAAATACTTACTTAAAAACAGATTCCAAGATTACGATTGCACTAAAATGAAAAGCAAAGTTTTCACTGATATTTTACCCATCAGCCTGCTTATGATACCTTATAGTGAGGGTTGCTTGCAATGGGAGTTACCTTGAACCATTCTTAATTCCTGTGAAACCCTTGGGTAAATCCCAATATCCTATATGTCAAGAGTAATATTTTATACATTGATCATACTTTATGTGCCTCTTTGTTATGAATGTAGTGCAACCTTGTGCTAAAATCAAAATGTATGCAAACTAAGTTTTAAGATGATCTTGTGGAGATATGTTGCTATAAGAATTGCCAAACTAACAAGCTTATTACATTCTTTAGATGCAGCTCAAGAACTCATATTTTCACACAAATATGTAGCTATATTTGCAATTTATGGGGAAGGTTGTTGGATTGCCTTAATTCCTTTACAGTATTCTAGGGGATACAAATTATCGAGCTGCATATGTGTTACTTTATTTTACTTTTGTGATTGATCTCTTTTGAGCATTGAGCTGTTTCTAACATCTTTTTAGAGAAATAATATATATATAATTATTATTAAATTGTTATTAAAAATATGTTTTTGTGAGCTGCAGATCACTGCAACAGATACATAAACTGGCTAGAAAAGTCATACAGAATTTAAACTGAAGGAAGTCGAAGGAAGGAAACTCACATAAAAGGCAATTTCAGAAGGTCTCAACAAAAAATGAGGTTTTAACATATTACAGTTGTTTTGTAAGTACTTGTAATCTGTCTCACATGCAGTCTGCATAATCCACATTCTTTTCCCCTTCATAATATTCAGGCTCCTCCGATTTTTTTTAATTATTTTTTTTGCCATCATAGATTAACATGCATCTCCTCCTTCATTCTCCTCTTTATTCCTTTTGCAGTAATATTTGAACTTGCCCTGACAACCAAAAATATGCAAGTAGGTAAAAACTAAGCGTTTTTAAAGAACGGTTACAGCCCCTCTTTCCCAGGATCACAAGCTGGGGGAAAGGGGGTAGTATGAAAATCCTTTCTAACAAGCTTTACCAGATAGATGCCAAAGTATGCTGAATGCTGTATACTGTAAAGCCTGATTGTTCTCTGTGTTTTAAGTGTTTGCTTTTCAAAGGAGGAGTAATCATACCTAGAAGGGAATGAGTTTCCTGTAGAAACCTCTGATCATTTGACCTGATCTTCACCCTGCGGAAGGAATTGCTATGTGGGGGGGGGAGAGGACCTGTGAAGCTACAGCCAGAAGGAAATTGCAAAAGCAGGGAGGAATTTACAGAATGGAAGAGAGATCGTGATGCACCTTTGATGGAAGAACTTCAAAAACAATTTACCACTTGCCGAGAGTTTTGTAAGCTGCAACCTTTTCAGGCTAGTGGAAGACAAGTTAATAAAAGGCAGGGGTCCCAAACACTTCAGCTCTTCAACTTCATGAAGTTTCAAATTGTTCATTAATTCCCAAACATTTATTATATGAAAATAATTTAATAAATACTATTTTAACTAATAGTGCCATGAATATTAATGCAAAGCCACTTTTGCTTGTGACTTACCATCCAATCCCAGGTAGCACTATCTTGCCACTGGCCAGCTTATCTTCAGGACTAAAGACTATCCTGTGTAGAGCTCTATGGAGGCCCCCAAGAAGATTAATTAAGCCCAAGTGACCTTTCATCATTTATTAACCATCTGTTGAGTCCCAGACATTTACTGACCCCCTTTTGACCTTGAGTCATTTATTTACCCCTTGAATACTCTCGTTGACCCTTGAGTGTCAATATTGATCACTTTGGGGAACCCTGATATAAGGCAAGGAATAGCATGCACTCTCATGACCACAGCAGCCCAGGCAAGGAAAACATCCTTTTCTAATATTTCCTGACTTTCATGAGTCAGGAAATATTAACTGGGAGGAGACAATAATAACAAAATCATGTTTTCCCTATCTCATTTAACAATCAACCTTGCCTGTTCTTCTCAAATCGTAATAAAAAAGACAAAAAGAATGGGTCAATGAATCCTCATTTTCACATGGCAGATATGCGTCTAAGTCTCTAAGAGCACAGTTTTTGTCTTCTGGATGCAGTGAGAAGTAAGCAAGGAAGGTCATCTTTTTTCATTAAAAGATGAGATTTTGATTTTTTTCCAATAAAATAAATAAATATTATTATTATTATTTATTATTTTCAGATGGCCCAGTACTGCAGAGTTTGATAACTTACAATCTGATTAAGTTATACCGTATTGCTTTGATTTGGGATTCTACGTGACTACTTACCTTCTTTGGTATTGCTCTTTCCTCAATACATTCTTTTTTATATCTTTATTGGTGTAACAGAAAAGTATGAGTCCTTGGAAGATGAGGTCTGCCAGTGAGATTTAATTACCCCCTACCAGCTCATAACACATTACTATAAGGTTGATCTGGCAGAGAATCATAACCAGCACCTTGGATTGCACCCAGAACCCCAATTGGCAGCAGGTGCAGCCCACAAAGCAATGGGGACATGGATAGTGCATTGCGGTGGTCCAATGAAGGGGAAACAGAGAGGCTGTTTGGTCTAACAGTTAAGGCACCAGTCTAGAAAGTGGGAAGAACTGAGTTCAAGTCTTTATTTAGCCACAGCTGGGTGACTTTGGACCAGTTACTCTCTCTTAGCCCACCTCACCTTACACGGTTGTTGTGGGGAAAATAGTAGAAGAAATGTGTTGGATATTTTTTCTACCTTGAGTTATTTGTAAGATAAAGGTGGGATAAAATGAATGAAAAGAAGGAAAGAGAGAGAAAGAAAGAAAGGAAAGAAAGAGAGAAAGAAAGAAAGAAAAAGAAAGAAAAAAGGAAAGAAAGAAAGAAAGAAAGAAAGAAAGAAAGAAAGAAAGAAAGAAAGAAAGAAAGAAAGAGCCCTCTTGGTTTGAGAATGGGCGGAACTGACATGCCAGATAAATCTGTACAAAGACCCACTTGGACACAGCTGCCACCAGCTGTTTGAGTAGGAACTATAAGTCCAAAGGACCACCAGAGTGCATACCAGTCTTGCATGTGGAAAAGTAATTCCATTAAAGATTAAAGCTATGATGTCCCCAGAAGCAAGAGGCTCAAAGTTACTCATATATGTCAGAACTGAACCCAAATGTGTTCCTCCACATTCAGATAATCTCTGGGCTCCAGGTCAGAACTTTGTCAGCCAAGATGTCAGCATACTGATGACACCTCAGGCCAAACTATTGGTGGACTAAGTGCTTTCGTGTAGACTTTAAACAAAGGGGGACAGAGAGTTGATCCCTGCAGCACCCACAAGTGAGGGCTGCAGGCCCAACCTCTTGCCTTTTCTCAACACTGATTGACAACCACAACTATTGCAATCCTGAAACCCAACTGAACTTAGATAACATCTGGTCTACTACAGTACATGCTCCCCCTCCCTTTTTGGGGGGGCTTGGGATATGCTCTTTAGAATTTGTTACAAAACAGACTCATAAAAAGCTTGCTGTATCTTTCTTACAACAGTAGGTGTTGCTATTGGCAAGATTTCTCTTTTTCCTAACTTCCTATTCTTACAAAGAATTTATTTATTAAAATAAATGGAAAAATAAGTGTGTCTTGTAGGTAACAGAGACAGAATGTCAACTTGCGAGTGAGCAAGCTAGCTAGCTCTTCAGACAGTTACTCCTGCCTCAATGAAGGTCCAATGCTTCATTGGATTACCTTAATGTCCCCATTGCTTTCTGAGCTGCACCGGCAGTTAGGATTCTGGGTGTAATCCAAGGTGCTGG